TTTTTCTTCAGCCCAAAACACCTTAACTAATGATTCTCCCCTCCATACCACAAACAGAGTTAGCAATACATAAAGTCAATTAACAGTCAGAAAGAAACTTAATCCAAAGGTTGATATAAAATGAGGAGAGAACAGTGGTCTTGGGCTCCTCCTCCCCCCCTGGAAAATTCTGAAATGCAGGTACAATTTAGAAGGTTTTAATGGTCCCAATGAGAGCCCTAAACACTTAATGGACTCTGCCAGTGCAGGGAAGAACCACCTGTAGCCGGACGCCCTTCCCCCCCCTCCCCTTTGCTCTTTCGAGTGCAGTCTGCAGAGTTTCCTGTTATGCTGTTACAAAGCCACAAGCAGCGGAAGCTCCCCACTGATGTTAGATGCTTGCTTAAAGCTGCATTGCTCTATATGATCAATTGTACTCATGCTTATGAATATGTAATCAATTAATGTAAGGAATGAGTGAGATAGTGTGAGTGAGTGACAGCTAATGGCAAAACAAAGAAGCAAATATCACCTTATATGGAACCATGGTATTATCTTGGTGAAGGTATAAACTTCAAGATGGGCAGTCAGGTCGGGTACCAACAAGGAAATTTAACAGCGCGCCCTCCAGCAGATCCGAAGGGACTTCAGGGGCTCTCGTTGCCCCGCAGCCAATCTGTGGGCAGCTGTTGCCTGGCCAGCCTCAGCCACCTACAAAATCAAAACCAACATCCGCGCCTGCAGCCTGCCAGCATGAATGAGTTGTGTGTGTGAGTATAATTGCGCAAATAAGGGAAGCAAAAAATCAAGCCTCAGTGCTGATCTAGTTCACCCTTTGTTTGTGGTTATTTCTTGGCTGGTTCCAAGAACAGGCATCAGAACCAGGGCCAGTGCATGGAAGTTTCGCGCGCTGGGCGAAATTTCCACCTTGTGCCCCCCCCCCGCCCTGCAGCCGCCCCCCCCCCCCCCCCCCCCTGAGGCGCCCCCCCTGCCCTGCGGCGCCCCCCCCCCGCGGCAGCTCTCCCCCCCGCCCTGAGGCACCCCCCCACAGCAGCTCCCCACCCCCCGGCCTGGGGATCCGTACGGCAGCTCTGACCCAGGGGTTCCCCTGGGCTGCCGGCAGCGCGCTGACCTAGGGGAACCCCTGGGCTGCCTGCCGGCGGCTCAGACTCCCTCTCCCTCCCAGCGCAGTGGCCGCTGTAAAAAAAAAAAAATGGGGGCGCTGCTTTTTGGCGCCCCCAAATCTTGGCACCCTAGGCAACCGCCTAGTTGGCCTAAATGGTAGCACCGGCCCTGATCAGAACCAGAACAATTAATAAGATTTGCTTAAATCTAAATTTTAATATTAAGGGGGCTCCTTGTGCCTTTTGAGTTTGGAACCTTTAAGGAGAGACTGACCACTCTTGATTTATCATTTCAGATTCAACATGCAACTTTAAATGCATACACAAATATGCAGGCCCTTCCACTGCCTTCTCATGTGGACTCCACTTACTCTTCCATCCCTGATATGTGGGAAGCTGACATGCTATCATTCTCCATCTCCCTCCCTGCCACATGCAGTCCCTCACCCCACTCAAATTCTCCATTCCTGCCTTACTTATAGCCTTCTGTTCCCCTATTTTGTCCCTGATATTTTCTTCTTGGTCTCCTACCCCATATATTCTCATTCCTTGTGCCCTTTTTATTTTGCACTCCCTCAGTTTCCTTCTGCACACCACATTCCCGTGTCCACCCCATCTCTCTCTTTCTGTCCTACATTCCCTATAGCCCCAAATCTCTCCTATGCCCCATGCTCCTGTCACCCAAAGTCTTTCTCCAGACCCGAAGAAGAGCTATGTGTAGTTCAAAAGCTTTTCTCTTTCACCAACAAAGCAGGTACAATAAAAGATATAACCTGACCCACCTTGTCTCTCCAGCTCCTCACTTTTCTGCACCTCAAAAATCTCCTTCCTGTCCCTCACGTTCCCCTAGATTCCTGCAGTCTCCTACCTACCTTACATGTTTCCATTCACTTCAAAATCTACCCCCCACCTACAACACTTCTCTGTCTCTTTACAGTTCCTAGCACAGCATAAGCAGTGGCATCTTCCCTGAGGACATCCCAGCTTTAGTCCCCCTTGAAACCATTGGAGACCACAGCCCAATTTACTAGTAGCAGCCTCGCTTTACAGCAATGCTAGTTGTCTTGAATGAAGGCAGTCTCTGATGTCAGTACCACTGAAGGTAATGGCAAAATTTACATTTGATAACAAAAATTGGGAGATCATGAGAAATCAGACTTGTGATTAAATTATAATTACTGGCAACTCTGTACTCTAAATCAAGGACTAGCACAAGCACTTTTGAGCTAAATAATGTAATCTGATAAGTCTTGTATAAATTCTTAATTTTTTTTTTTTTTTTGGTTTTGGACATACAAATAAAACCTCATTAGTTTTACCACAATCAACCATCCAAATCCTTTTAACATCCCACTCATTTCCCTGATGCCCACAAAAAAGAAGTATAAAAATAGCAGCTACCTGTATTTCTGGGCTTACCATTGCATCCCATCGCCTAAGAATCTATCTTTCAGTACTTGATCCTGCAAGCACTTATGCATTTGAGTAGCTTTACTCATGAGCTCCACTGAAGTTGATGGGCTTATTCACAATAACAAGCCTTATGGTCAGTAACAAGTGTTTGAAAGATTGGGCCCTTAGATTGCAAAATTGTTGGGGGCAGAGACCATCTTTGAGTTATACAGGGGGAAACACACTGTCAAGTTTAAACAAAAAAATGAAGCATCGTAGTAACAGCAAAGTTCAGGCTAGTACATTTTCATGACAACTTAGCAAAGATGAAACAGTTTTAATATGTTATGACTAACTTCATCTGTGTTATGCTTATACAAAGCACACGGGATCTTTATAGAGGAAGGTAAATACACATAGCATTTATTGAGAACACCACAGTTAGCATATGCTTTTTAGACACACACACACACACACACACACCCCTACCTACCTCTCTGCAGTGATGTTTATAGTTACGAGTCTGGATCAAGCTAGTGGCCAGCCAGATTGGTCGCAGAGGGGAGTGGGGTTCTATCGGTCACGATCCGATGCTCCTTGAGTGTGGCAAGACGAACCCAAAGTCCTATGGCAAAGCACCCTGTTCTTATAGGTTTTCTTCTCTGTTGAAGCCTATGGATTTTGCTGTGTCACTTTGTGACTGGTAACTTCTTAATTGGTGTAAACATTCCAATACACCTCTGAGAGGGTCATCCTGTCCTTTGTTCCCGATTTAATCAATTGTCTTTAGGGGTGCCAGCCTTTACCTCAGGGTCGTCAATCTGCCCTTCATTATGGATGCGCGTTGATGATTCTTTGATGTTCTTTAAGCTTCTTCACTCCTCCTTCCTTGACTTTGGCTATAACAATGGCCTTCACACCTTATCTTTTCCTGATGCATACATTCCTCATTCACACAAACAGATTGAGAATACAAACAGTAGTATTTTATATTGAGCAAAAGGGCATTGCAAATTAAACCTTGCTAAGTTTTACAATCAATAACCAAGACAATTTACATTGAGACCCAGGCCTTCAATGTTCCTCTAATCTACTTAACATAGACACAATAGAGAATCCTGTCTCTTACTTTCTAATTTGTAATACATATAGGAAACCATAGTAGCTTTATAACTTATTCTAAAACAAAAGGATGACCATAATTAGTCATAAGGATTGTTCTGGTCTGTCATTCCTTTCTGCTATTCAAAAAGGGTGGCTGACAAGATGAAATCAAATCATACATTAATTCTCATAGTACATTATAAAATCCAGCTCCTACATCTGTCTGGATGATGGGGATGACAATAATGCATGGAGAAGAACCCAAACTGAGTATTGCTGGATGCTGTCATATTTGCAGTGGCCCACTCCAACCAACCACATTAGAAACCTGCTTCAAGCCAGAGCTGTGTTTAAACACCCAGCTCCTTGTTTTGATGACCCAAGGGAGCATGGGTGTGATGTGGAGCAGAGAAGAGGAAAAGTAGGGATGGTTGTTTGTGACTGCATAAAATATAAATACATGTAGGGTGACCAGATGTCCCGACTTTATAGGGACAGTCCCCATATTTGGGGCTTTGTCCTCTATAGGCACCTATTACTCCCCCACCCCATCCTGATTTTTCACACTTTCTATCTGGTCACCCTATGTTCATGAACTAATTTGAATATAGTAGGCATAGAGGAAATTAAAATTTATAGGGGGATTTAGCACTCAACCTACTGGATTATCACCAAAAGGGTTCTCCCACAGAGTTAACGTGGGCCTAGCCTCAGAGCAGCGGTTCTCAGCCCGCAGCCCACATGTGGCCCAATTAGCATACAGCCAAGGCCCAGCACAGCTGTGTGCTAAAGGCGACGGGGACCGGGGCCTGGGCTGCCGCCGGCTCCGCAGCAGGCTCTGGGGTCCAGGCAACTGGCTGGCACCCCGCAGGCTCAGGGTCCGCGAAGGCTTTGCCGCCAGCTCCGCACAGCGGGCTCCAGGCGGGGGGGTATAAGGAAGGATATTGCTCCGTGTAAGAATGTGCTACCAGTAGCACTTTGCACGGCTGGCTCATGGGGCCAGACTGCTGCCCGGCCCCGCAGGCTCCGGGCTGCCAGTGTAGTGGCATGCTCAGTACAACCTACCTAGGAAATTCTGCCAGGGAGCAATTTGTGCCACTACACGCGGGGTGGCGGGGACTGAGGCTACACACGGAGCTGAGAGGAAGCGATTCTCCCCCAGCCGCTCACGGAGCAGCGCCTCGCGCCGGCACAGCAGCTGGGCCTAGAACAGCCATCGACACCTGTCCGGGACTGGCCGCAGTGCGGGGCGGGGCCTTCCGCTGCCCCGCCCCTCCGAACACTCAGCGGCCAGAGCTCCAGAACGGCCGCTGCTCAACTCGCGCGCTCCCGGCTCCGGAGATAGGGAAGGTGGCGCGCGCGCGCTCTAGTCACGTGCTAAAGGGAGCGGGGCCTGTTCATCACGTGACTGAGGGGACCCGGAGCTCGCGCCCCAGTACGGAAGGGAAGATGGCGGCGGAGAGGGAGCCCCCTCCGCTCGGGGAAGCCAGGCAGCCCGAGCTCGAGGAGCTGGAGGACGGCGAGGATTTGTTCACCAGCACTGTGTCCACCCTGGAGGTGAGAGGCGGGGCCCTGCTGCCGCGCGGCGCCCCTGTCACCCGGCCCCCGCCGCCTTTTTCGTGCCCTGCGGGGCAGAGCCGCGGCCGTCGGGCCCCGCGCGCCCAGTAGCCAGAGAGCGCCGACCCGCCCGAATGTCCGGGCTCCAGCGTCCCCACACCGGCCTCCGCCGCGCTCCGGTGACTAGTGACAGGAAGCCCCGCCCCCAACCTGCCCCGGTGCGTTGGCGTCCTCTGACCCCTTCCGAGCTACCTCTCCCCGCGCCGGCTAACGGTCTCCCCCATCCCTGCTGGGGTGTGCCTCCCCTGAGCGGGGCGGTCACTTCTCTGGAGCTGTCATCCCCTGCTAGAGCGCTCTCCCTCCAGTGTCCCGGGCTCCCTTCCCCGGGGAGCCTCCGCTCCGCTGCCGAGATGATCATGCTTTCGCCTGAGAAATAGCTACCTGTCTCTTCTTCTGCCAGATGTTCTTTCTTCCCCCATCTCTGTCTCCCTGCTGGAATAACATCTCATTCCCCTTTATAATGTTGCCTACCCCAGATCTCACTTTCTGCATCTCCCCAGCCCATGGTCTGAAAACATAACCCACTTCCTTCCAAGATAAAAATCCCTCTATCTTGCCTTGCTCAAGGAATCTATGTGATCACTCCTTAAAATGAGTTTGTTCCTTCCCTTTAACGCTGGCATTGAGCAGCTCCTGGGAGCTCGTCACTGTCTGAAGATTCTCATTTTGATGCAGTTCAGTGTCATCTGTCTCTCTTTAGGGATGGATGGTACTTATGGCTAGTTAGAGAGATGCATCCATGTGAGGGCTTTTGAAACCTACAATTACCATATTATTTTTCAGTAACTAGGTTTCTTAAAACTTTGTGCAGCTATTGAAAACTCTAGACCTGTCTTGCTTTTTGTAAGCAACCCATCTCCACCCCCCCGCCCATTAAATATAATTGAACATTTTTTTGAAATAAGCAGTGTCTGCATAGGTTAAAAAAAGTTTTATAAAGTGATAGCTTCCCTCTCCTCTGTAATTTGTCCTGGTTTTTGTTTTCAGTATGCAAAACTGTAATGCACAACATTACATGTCCTGTTCATGCAGACATCTATCTAATATGTGAAGTGTTCCTGTTTTTGTTGAAGGAAGCTTCCTGCCCCTGAACTTTACAGTAATGGGTCAGTGTGTTCAGTTCATATGTGGTCTATCTTTATCAGTGTTATCTTCCTGTAACAAAAATATAGTAAATTATGTTCTCAAACACATAATAAGGCACATAAATGTATTTTGAGGAGAATTCTCTCTTTACAAATAAAAGGCTAAATACTAAAACTTTAAATATGCAGTTTGCAGGCAATTTTTTTCCAGAAAAATAAATCTGCAAAGCATACAGTAGGCCCACTTATGTACATATATAAAATATTCAGTTTGTTTGACCAGATTGAAAAACTAATAGGGCTGTATATATTTTAGTACTTTCAGATGAACTGCATTAAAACACAAAAAGTAACTCTCTTACTTGCCTAGAATAAAACTACAAACTTAGAGAGAGGTGTGTTGGAATTTATGGCTAATCCATCTCCATACAACAACAACAACAAACATCTTTTTGTGTTTAAAAGTCCAGTCTTAAATGGATACAGTTAACTTCAAAATCATATTTCTGTATGGAAAGCTTGGTATCTCCGATGGTACAAATAACACTACAGATTAACTGAAAAACCGACGAAAGTTCAGTTTGTTTCCGTTGTGCATTTGACAGCACTCTGTGTACAGTGCCTTTGTTTCACTGTTTCTCTATGTAGTCAATTGGAAGAAAGTGATTAATTGAAAAGAGCCTTATAAACATGAGTAGAAGAAAAACCCTCAATATTTTTTAAAAAGTCGATACTTTTTTTAGAACTGTTTATCAAAAGAATTACTAACTCATTTGAATTGACTAATTTAAAAAAACAACAAGGAGTCCAGTGGCACCTTAAAGACCAGCAGATTTATTTGGGCATAAGCTTTCGTGGGTAAAAAACCTCTAAGTGAGGTTTTTTAAGGTGCCACCGGACTCCTTGTTGTTTTTGGTTACAGACTAACACGGCTACCCCCTGGTAATTTAAAAAAGTGTCCTTTTGAGGTTTCAGCAGAGAGTATGAAGTTACTCCTAATAACATTTTCTGGGAATTCTGATTTTTTCCCTCTCATGTATGAGTAAACACTGTTCCTCTTATAACCTTCCAATCACACATACCCAATGTTCATATGTAAAATATTTTGATATGTCAGAAAAAGACAGTTCATTTACATGCAGCAGGTTTTTTGAGCGGAGGGGGTACATGTGTGGGATAATGGCTTCAGTTATAATTTTGACAAAGTCCTGCCTAGTCTCAAACTAGATTTTAAACTCTTTAGGGCAGCAGCTCTGTCTCTCTTTCTGTATTCTAAGGTTCCTAACACACTTGTTTGCTGTAAAATAATAAATGGGTCACACTCTTGGCCTAACAATCTGATAACATTGCTTTACATTAGGCTGCTGTATTAAGAGATTATGAAACTTGTGCTTTTAAATTCTGTGGCTCTAACAACTTTCATATTGTACCTGCTTTGGTAATATTTCTTAGATTCTTTAGGAGTGTTATTTTTAATAAAAATAAAACAAAACCAACTTTGAGTGTCCTTCATAGTTGGTGATTAACGTTTACTGCACTCTTATCAGTCAGACACTGATATTGGGGAGAAGAGGGATGGAAGATGGTGGGTGGGAGGGCACAGTGAAGTCCAAGGATAACTCCAAAGAAGGTGAAAACATCCTCTTTCTTCATCGCTAATTGATGGGGATGGGGGAGATCCCAACTACCTGAGTGCTGACTATGGAGCCTACAGAGGTGGGGACTCCCTCTCTTGTTTTGACTCCTAGATGTCTGTTGAACGTGAAGCTTATCTCTTCACTCCTCCTCAGGCTGATCACAGGAGAGTCTTCCCACTTTTTATTTTTTCATCCCTTCCCTTTGTTTCTGGCTGGAAGAAGAGTAAACAAGAATTTCTTTCTGCTGATGTTTTTGTTGTTGTTAAAATTTGCTTTTCCCTCTCTTAGCATAGTTTATTGTTTCCCCTCACCTTTTGCATTTTGTTGCCATTCACATATCACAAGATCATGCCCTTCATTTTCTATTTTCTGTTTGGTGGAAGTAAAACCAAGAGAGTGAATGAAAACTCTTTATCAGATATTATGTTTCAAATTTAGATTTAAAATGTTTTATAACATCTATGTATTTATTTAGTTTTACCCTGCAAAACAAACATTGTTAACTTAAATATGTTTGCTCCAGTTAATAATATAAACCTTATACAAAGTGTAACACAAGAACATCACACTTAAAGAAAATTAAATGTAAGTACTGTGAAAACTACTAGCTCAGGAAATTTTGCCTTACCCATATTACACCTTGTACATCTTGGTAAACAGCAATATTGACATGTAAAAATTCACTGTACAGACTTCAATCAACCTCTATTGTCCCTCTACCCACTTTCAGTTTTTCTGTGTATATCACTGTATATTGCAGTATGTAAAGCATATTAAGAACATAAGAACGGCCATACTGGGTCAGACCAAAAGTCCATCTAGCCAAGTATCCTGTCTTCTGACAGTGGCCAATGCCAGGTGCCCCAGAGGGAATGAACAGAACAGGTAGTCATCAAGTGATCCATCCCCTGTCACCCATTCCCAGCTTCTGGAAAACAGAGGCTAGGGACACCATCCCTGCCAATCCTGGTGATAGCCTCTTGATGGACCTATCCTCCATGAATTTATTTAGTTCTTTTTGAATCCTATCGTTGTCTTGGCCTTCACTACATCCTCTGGCAAGGAGTTCCACTGTGCATTGTGTGAAAAAATACTTCCTTTTGTTTGTTTTAAACCAGCTGCCTATTAATTTCATTTGATGTCCCCTAGTTCTTGTGTTATGAGAAGGAGTAAATAACACTTCTTGTTTACTTTCTCCACATCAGCCATGATTTTATAGACCTCTATCATATCCCCCCTAGTTGTCTTTTTTTCTAAGCTGAAAAGTCCCAGACTTATTAATCTCCCCTCATATGGCAGATGCTCCATACCTCTAATAATTTTTGTTGCCCTTTTCTGCACCTTTTCCAATTCCAATATATCTCTTTTGAGATGGGGTGACCACATCTGCGCGCAGTATTCAAGATGTGGGTGTACCATGGATTTATATAGAGGCAATATGATATTTTCTGTCTTTTTATCTATCCCTTTCTTAATGATTCCCAACATTGTTTGCTTTTTTTGACTTCTGCTGCACACTGAGTGGATGTTTTCAGAGAACTATCTACAATGACTCCAAGATGTCCTTCTTGAGTGGTAATAATTAATTTAGACCCCGTCATTTTATATGTATAGTTGGAATGATATTTTCCAATGTGCATTACTTTGCATTTATCAACATTGAATTTTATCTGCCATTTTGTTGCCCAGTCACCCAGTTTTGAGAGATCTTTTTGTAGCTCTTTACAGTCTGCCTGGGACTTAACTATCTTGAGTAGTTTTGTATCATCTGAAAATGTTGCCACTTCACTGTTTATCCTTTTTTCCAGATCATTTATTGTGACATGTTGAAGGAATATGAGGGGTTAAAGGTTTTTGCATATTAACCTTATGATCTGTGTGCATAAAACCTTGTATATTGTTAAATTACAGGCTCTATATTCATGCTCTGTATCCAGAACATTTGGAGGTTTTTGAGGCTTGGTGAAAGGGCACTAAGCACTTTAGTTATTGGGGAGTGGGAGCTGAAGCACTCATATTTTAAGCATATATTTTATATGCTTGAAACTTCAAGCACCACATCACTGTTTAACTCTCTTAGTTATAAGTTTATTTGCTATAAGTATAAAATTTTAAGATGCCAAATAGAGTAGAGCAGAGATTCTCGAACTGTTTCAGAGTACTGGCTGCATCTTAATAAAAAAATGGATTGCTTATTTCCCCTCCCACTCATAGTCAC